CTATGCTGGGGCTTAAAATGAAAAACAAACTGCCTGTGCCCTGTAATCCCTCATCTCTGTGCTGGGAGCTGTAAATGGCTCTTGACACAAACATGGAGCTGCCAATGAATCGCTCAGTGTGGGCACATCCATCACTGCTATGTGATTCCCCAATGATGGCCCCACAGCACACCCATAGCCCACAGCATCAATGGCATTTGGATGCCAAAAGATGACCTCTGGCAGCAAGCATCTTCTGCTTGTGATTCTGAGCACCCCCAGTGCCCAGCAGGATGCTTGAGCTGTGAAGGGAGCTGCGTGGCCCTGTGCAGGTATGGTAAATGCATCTTTTGTGTGGTGTAGTCTGAAGGAGGGTTTCCAAATCACTAGGCTGTGGATAAATGCACGAGGATTTAGCTTTGCAAGGCTCTGCTTGTGCCTTCATCGCCTCTTTTCGTGAGCTGGGTTAATTGCCTCCAGTGGCTAATTAACTAATTGTGCCTAGCCAGCGCTGAGGGGAAGGGGTGGGTGGCTTTGGGGTTAAAAGAATACCTCAGGCTCACAAGGGTATATATAGGATGCCATCCTCACCCCAGCAATGGGGCGCAATGAATGGAAGGTGCAATGAATGGGGCTGCAGGGGGGTTCAGTGAATGGGGGTTGCAGTGGGATGCAATGAATGGAGCACGGTGCCTCCTGCAGCTCAACTTGCAGCAGCATGGGGCAGTCAGTGAGCACAGCCCTGCCTGCCAGCAGCCCTGCTGGGCTCCGTGCTGCTATTTATAAGCTGTGAGTTGCACAAGCCTGGGACTGTTTTTTCCGTGATTGTACCGAATCAGTGGAACATGGAAAGCGGAGTCGTCTCTTTGACATCCTGTATGTGGGCTTCTTTATTTTTGCAGTGAGCTTTCGTTTCCACTCGGATGGGATGCGGAGCAGGGCGTGTTGTCACAACAGGTCATGGAGGGAGCGATGAGCAACATGCAGCCCGCGTGGGAAACACAGGGAGAGGTGGGGGGTGTCTGCTCTGCCTTCTCTTTGCTGTTACTGTGACAGCTGCTGGGGTGAATCAGGCTGGTTCCCACCATCTGGGAGGTGCTGAGGGCTAAGAGGGGTTCCCAAGGCTCTGTGGCATCACAGTGTTCCTGGGAGGGAAAACCCAAACTGCAGAGCTGACACTTGGGGTGTGCTTTATCCCACGTCAGTGTGGTTTTTACCTTCACGTTTTGCTGAGCACAGGGATAAGGGTGTGTGAGCACGATCCCATCCCATCCTGCCCTACAGATGCTCTGGAAAGGACCTGGGGATAGGCAGATCCCATCAGGGCACATCGCTGTGCTCCTGCCCCAAAGTCTGCGTGGCTCAGATGTGTGGGATGAAGGTGTGCCCTGGGTTATGGGCTGGCCATCATCTTCCGTGGGCATACTGCTCCTGAAGACTACAGTGTGGTCTGATAAGCCTGGTGCATTTTTTTGGGAATTGTGACTGCTCGATGAGGGAACTGCTGTCGGTGAATTCATAGATGTGGAGCTGCTGGGCATGCAGGGACAGCATCCACTCCTTTGATGCTGAGTGTCCCCCTGGGAAGGGTCAGGGTGCCAGTGCTGGTTTGTCCAGAAGGTGTCATTATCGTGTATGTGAAAAGTGGGATCACTTCCCCCAAACCTGCTGCACACCCATGGCTGTGCTGTGTATGTGGAGCCCAACCCAGGGGTTGAGTGCTGTGGGGGCTGAAGGGCAGGAAAAGGGATTTGCTTAGTGCCACATCAAGCACAGGGTGATTGGAACCTCCTGCTCTGCGGGGGTGGATGCTGAGCTGCTCAGTTCTCACTGAGAATGGGAACAGCCCCGGAAAACCGCCTGGCTGGGATTGGGATCGAGCTGGCCACGAGCAGGTGGAGCCCCTTCCGTTTGCTTTGCAGCCCCTGTGAAAGGCACACAAGGCTGGAGGTGCTATAGCCGAGCCTGGGGGTGCTGCTTGGGAACAGCTGAACCCCAATGGTAACAAAAACCATGGGAGAAACCCAGACCCAAATGCAGCAGCAGCGTTTGGGAGCCAGATTTCACCAAGGGAAGTGACTCAATGTCTTGGAAGGAGTTGGGGGTGGTGGGAGGACAGGAGGGTGAGGGGGGGGTGCGGAGTGGGCTGGGGGCAGCTGGGAGCCACCTGGCTCTGTGGTGTCCCCCTGGTGTTGCCCAGCATTGCCCTGCAGCCCTATAGGGCCTGGCTGGGGGCCAGGAAAGGCGGCCCCACGGGAAGCGATGTACTGCAGGATCCCCGCCAGCTTTCCCACCCTCTCCCAGCTGTTGCTCACGGAGCCAAAACCACCCCGAGGATGCTGCTGCCGTTCCTTCCCCCTCCCCTTCTCCTTAAAAGCCGTCTGTGCCCTACGCCGCTGCCTGCAGCATCCTCACCGGGCTCAGCTCCTCTTCCTCACTGCCTTCATCCCAGAGCAGAGAGGGCTGTGGCAGAACTCCAGGTATTGGGTACTGGGAATGGAGGGGGAAGAGAGGAGAATTCACGCTGTGCCCCCTCCCCTGCTGACTCCTAGGGACTCTGTGCAGAATTGCTGCCCACTGCAGAAGTGGTGGCAGAGGTCCCACCAAGGTATGAGCATCAGCTCTACGTGGTTTTGGAGGAATCCCCAAGGGGGAGGAAGTGGGGTGTCTGGCCCTGGGAGGGGTTAGGATGAGTCCCACTGACAGAGCAATAGGGAGTGGGGCAGCACCAGGCTGTGCTACGCTTGCATTGCAGCAAGACCGTGTTTCATTTTAAAAATATATACTTTGGGTACTTTGAAATACTTCTGGGAGCTGCTGAGATGGGAACTGCACTGCCCAAATGCATCAGGATGACAAAAGGGTTTTGCTCTGCTGGGCTGTGTGTTACTGCTCTCACCCCATGCCCAGGTCCCCCCTGCCCCCAGTGCAGCAGTGTGACGGTCATGAGCTGTTGGCAAATCCCCATCTGTGGGTGTTTTGGGGGGGGGGGGAGTGGATCATGCAGCCTCCCGAGGACTCTTCTCTCTTCTCCTTTCTCCAATCTGAGAGCATCAGCAACTTTTCTCCTGATTCAGCCCCATGGCAGCAGTTTTGTAACCCAGCACTATGTGAAGCGAGGATCGCAGCTGGGGCTGATTCCTCTTTCACAGCTCCTGGGGGGGGGGGACACACCAGTGTCACCACCTGTGCAGGACGTTGCATGTCCCTGCAGGTGTCAGTTCTCGTTGGGCATTGCTGATGCCACATGATGGAGTTTGTGGTGGTGGTTTTGCACTTTCACAGCTATTTCTGGATGGCTCCATGTGCACTCCACATCGGTGATGCTAGTGGGGAACCCAGCGATGGTCGGGCAAACCCCAATTTTCTCAAGCACAGTGACCACCATCTCCACTTGTGTCTCCATGTGATCCAGGATGAGGACACACTGCTGGATCCATCCCCACCTTTGTGCGTGGGTCACAGCTGCACCAACAGCTGGGATTAGTGAGGCAGGAATGTGTTCCCTTCCACCATGCACCCTGGGAACACTGGGGACAGCATGTGCCTGGCCCTACACCAGTGTGGAATGCTGTACTCCAAAAGGTTTGGGGCTGAGCATGGTATGCGTGGCACAAGGAGCTGTCGTGTCCCCTCTGTGCACAGAGCCTCAAAATCACGGTCCCCATCCCCACATCCTGCCTCGTTACATCGCTTCCTCCTTCCCAAGCATGAGCCAAGCTGATGTCTGGTTGCGTTTTTTTGTGTTTGTGTGTGCCACAGGCTGTGGTTTTGCTCATCTTCCCATCGGCAACGCGTGCACATCCTCTGTGGGATGAGAGAGCTCAGCAATAGCCACAGCTGCTGGTGGAGAAGTGACCAAACCCTGCGGCGGCCAACACAATCTTAACAGGGTGACAGCAGTGGGAATGGAATCTCTACGTGCACGGAAGGGCAGGGAGTTATCTGGCTGAGAGGTAAACACCTCTGGGTTTTGGTGTCCGTGGGGTTGCACCTGGGTTGGGAGCGGAGCGATATCTGGGGCTCAGGGAGGGGTTGGTTGCAGCCAGCAAGAATTCTTTGCTTTCCCCATGGGGATGCAGCCAGCTGAGGGTTTTCTCCTCTCTGTTATTACAAAGTGGGTTTGGGGTTTGGGTAGGGGATGGTGGTGACCTATGGGGCCATGCACTGGGACTCTGTAGTAGGTCATCACTACTCTCATTTGCTTAGCTTCTTTTGCCTGGCCCCAAAGTCCCCCCCCCATGCCTGAGCACAATCATGTCCCTCTGTCTGGCAGCAGCAGGGACAAATCCATTTCCTTCTCTTGTTTTCCTTTCTCTTTGCACCCTCTAAACTCTGATCTGCTGAGGGTGGCTCTGCAGGTGCCACATGAACCTCCCAGTGGTGTCCCCAACCACATGCTTGGCTTTGTCCCCAAGCAGCCACAGTGTTGTACAGAGCACCCCAGTTGACACCGTCAGATGGGGTGCAAATCCTCCTTGTTTGCAGCAGGAATAGCTCCCACCATGGGGCTGTTGTCTTTCCAGCCATGCCATGCAGCTGACTTGCTGGCACCGTGCTGTGCAGCTGGCTCCCTGCAACGTGCAGGGAATTGGGATACATCCCCAGGAGAGATGCTCATCACACAGTGCTTATTGCAGCACTCAACCCTTGTCCTACACCCAACAGTGGGTTCTGCATGATGTGGGGCTGGTGATTTTCCTTTTGCTTAGCTTGGTGATGAGTGTTGTGTTTTGAGGTCCAACACAGTTTCTGGGCAGAGCAGAGTGTGCAAGCTGTGACCCCACACTGCTGTGTCCCTGCACTGCTTCCATGGACCGTCCCATCCCAACCAGACGTGTGCAGCTCTGCCCAGAAAAAACACTGACTCATGCTGTTATTCTGTCCCACCCTGGGCACAGCCGGCTTTTTAAGGCTGCCTTTTCCAGTTATTCCTTTTTTATCTGCCTGTTCGCAACGCAGCCTCTCTCAAGGTCCTGGCACCCAAGCACCGTGGATGCAGGTAGGGCTCTGTGCCTCAGTTTCCCCTCTAGGAATAGGCTTTGCCTCCTCCCTCTGCCAATGGGGTTGCAGATTGTGGGGCTGTTTCTGGGGATTTGCAGGTGCCTGGATTTGGGAGATGTGGGGTGTAGGGGGATGGCAGCAGTGTGGGACTCCCCACAAGCTGTTCTTCTCCATGACATCACCATGCATCCAAGGGGGGCAATCTTGAGAGGTCAAAGATGCCTTACTGAGATGCCAGGAAATTTTTCTGCATGCACGTAACCTAAAAATAGGGCTTGGGTGTGCAGTTCCAGCAGAGTTCTCTGGATGTTTAGCAGCAGTGAGGTCTGAGCTCTTGTTATGGGGGTTTTGATGGTGCCCAACTCGCACTCAGGACTGGGAACATCAAGCTGGGATGTCATTGCCATGGCAGCTGCCAGCTAAAATAAGTGAGAACTGGAGCTGGTCATCATACCCCTTCCCCTGCATTCCCACACCCCTGTACCAGACTGGGAGGGAACTTGGGACTCAGGGCTTTGGTGTGGGGCAGCCACAGGGGGACACAGAACCACTGCTTCACCTCACAGCTTGGGTGAACACGAGAGTCTGGCTCCTGCAGGGTATGAGGATGTCATGTGTTCAATGGGGACATGGATGCACAAGGAAGGAGATGCTGATTCCTAAGCATCCCCACGGCCAAGTGCAAGGATAAGGCAGACCAGTGCATTATTTTTTCTTCTGGCTGCACTCCCCCGTTTCCCCACTCACATCCGTCCTCCCAGCCGCGGAAGCTTTTTTTTTTGCCCAGTAAAGCTGCATTTGAAGGTTTCTGCTGTTCTCTCTGCTTCCTGTTGCCGTCCCAAGAACAACAGCCCTGACCTCATCCTGGCCGTATGCGGGGCCGCCCCGAGCTCAGCCCTATGGGGGTCCCTGGCTGAGCACAGCTGTGTGAATTACAGCTTTTGGATTATTTGGGGCAGATCCTGTGCTCATTTTTGCGGAGGTAGGAGGACAGAGATGAATAGAGAACAGTGCGTAACGTGGTTTTGGCTCATGCTAAGCATTTGCAGCCCAGAAGGAACATTGAAACATGATGATGTGTGGGTTTAGTTTGTTGGTTTTGTTTTGTTGCTGTTTTGCTTTTTCAGACACACTTTATGGGGTATTTGCAAAAGGGAGAAGAAATGGAGTTGGGGTTTCTCAAGCCCAGGCTGGTAGGGATGGGGCCAGGTGCCCCTTGCTTGTCCTGGCACTGGTGCTCATGGCTGCAGCACAACCATGCAGAGCATGTCCTGTAGCACTGCTTTCAGCTGGGTCTGGGGAATGTCCTGCACATCAGTGTTAAAAAACCTGAGAGGGAAAGGGGAGGGAGAGCAAAACAAACAGGCAATTCCAATCAACGATCCATAAAGCACAGCTTTGAAACGTTGAGCTGAATGTCATCACATTGGAAAGTGATGGTACAGGAGAGATTTTTCCATGAAAAATGGGTGAGTGGGTACAACTTGAAGAGGGGGGAATGCCAGGGGTAGAGAAGTGGGGTCCCTGTGTGAAATGGGGATGGAGCAGCATTGTGTAACCCACAGCTTCGCTTCTGGGGAGGTGAAGCCATGTGCTAAGGGTGTGCAGGGGCAGGGCCAGCTCGGGGCTGTAATTGGTGTCCTGTCCCATGAGCACCTCTCCTGGGGCTCCATGAGGGGAATAGGATGCACTAAGCAACCTTTTGGCTGTGAAATCCATAGACTGTGACATGGATGGGATGCCCCACCAGCTGCTTGCTTGAGGATTTGTTCACCCTCAAATCTCTGTATCCTGATGGGAGTGCCACTGAGGGCAGGAAAGGGCAGAGAGCGGTGGAGCTGCTTGGGAAGGAACTTGAGGAAAAGCCCATGGAGAAACAATAGCTTATTGTGTAAACACATGGGGGCTTGGGAGTGGTGCTGGCAGGAGGACGATGCTCAGTTCAGCACTGCACAGCCTGGATGGGTTTGAGGTGCGGAGCCCCAGAGCTGTTAGCAGGGAGCAGTGGAACATGCTTAATGGCTGGCGGAGCCCAGTTTTGGCTAGTGGCAAATATAGTGCTCACAGTTAGCATTTTGCTCAGTGCTTGGGAGAAAGAAAGAGAAAAGCTGTAGTACTTTGCAGTTTGGAAAATCTCAAAGCTGTTAGTAAGCCTAATACTAATTGTTTCCTTGGGAATAAGTAGGCAATAGACCTGCTTTTGTGAGTAAGGCTGCAGCCGTGTCCTGGTGAGCACGACCAAGATGAGCTCAGCAGCTCCCAGAGCTGGTGCTTCTCCTGATCAGCGCATAAACATTCCAGACAAGCCCCAGCAACTGAGCTGGACCCAAGGGATCCCCCAGAGTTTCCAGGGCCATCCTAGCCATGCTTTGATCTAACACTGTGTTTGCTTAGCAGGGCATTGCCATCTGGAGAGGCTGAGACTGACTGGACACTGATTTGTGCACCAACCATGGCGCTTTCCAATTTATCTGATTACTCTGATGACTCTGACATCTATGACTACTTGGATTACACCTATGAAGAGCCAGGCAGCGTGTGGACAGGCCCATCCTATGACCCAAAGGACGTTGCGAGGATCCTCTCAGTTGTCATCTACAGTGTGTCCTGCGTGCTGGGCATCCTGGGGAATGGCCTTGTCATAGCCATCATCACTCTGAAAATGAAGAAGTCGGTCAATGCCATTTGGTTCCTCAACCTGGCCGTCGCCGACTTCCTCTTCAACATCTTCCTACCCATAAACATTGCGTACACAGCCATGCGCTACAACTGGATCTTCGGGACCGTCATGTGCAAGCTGAACTCCTTCCTCCTCATCCTCAACATGTACACCAGTGTTCTTCTGCTCACCACCATCAGCTTTGATCGCTATGTGTCGGTGGTTTTTCCCGTCTGGTCTCAAAACCATCGGTCGACCAACCTGGCATGCATGGTTTGCCTGATCATCTGGATGGTTGGTATCATCATGAGCTGCCCTTCTCTTGTCTTCCGAGATACAGCACAAGCTCGCAACTCTATCATTTGTTTCAGCAACTTCTCCCTGTCCAGAAATAGGTCTTACCAAGCACTGGCACTAGTGAGACACCGAACAGTGAACATCACCAGGCTCTTTGCTGGGTTCCTCCTGCCCATCACCATCATCACCTTCTGCTACATTTCCATTGCCTTCAACCTGCGTCGAAATCGCCTCGCCAAGTCCAAGAAGCCCTTCAAGATCATTGTCACCATCATCGTCACCTTCTTCCTATGCTGGAGCCCCTACCACCTGTTGAACATCCTGGAAACTGAGCCTGACCTGGTCCCACGCTCTGTATTTGAGATTGGCATCCCCATCACCACGGCACTCGCTGCCTCCAACAGCTGCATGAACCCCGTCCTCTATGTCTTCATGGGCCAGGACTTCAAGAAGTTCAAGGTGACCATCCTTTCCAGGCTGGTGAATGCACTCAGTGAGGAGACAGGCCACTCCAGCATCGTGCACAGGAGCTTCTCCAAGATGTCTTCAATGACCGAAAAGGAGACAACTGTCCTCTAAGTCTGGATGCTCATGGGATGGCCACAGTCCTCCGGGGCCACCCATGTTCAGCACTATGATGGTGGAATGGGCATGGTCTCATGCAAACAATGCATGCTCTGACTGATTACACTGCCTAGGCGTGGAGACCTCTGTGTGTGTGGCCTGTGCTCCTTGGCTGGGGCCTACCTTTATTTTCCAGAGACATCTGCAGCTTGGAGGAGATGTTAAGCATCAGTCTCTGCTGCCTGGAGGTGCCCACAGATGGACAACCTGTCCCAGCTGGAGGTGACGAGAGCTGGGTTGTGGGGTGCACTGTGAGGACAGCATTTGCTGGACAGTCCTGTGACAAAGACAAACAAAAAAGCAATAAGGGAAAGCAGGTGAATTTGTTATTATGGGATGTGTCTGAGGGGCACCTTGGCTTCCTGGGTGGGTGGATGCCACCCACCATGGCAATACAGTGACTGTGCTCCTTGTATGCGTATAGCCACTTATTTTAAATCCTGACATGTACTGGTACTAGAGCAATGTTTCTAACTGTGATGTGAGCACTGTGTACCCAGCAGAGAACGCTGCAATAAACACAATGCTCACTCAAGGGCTCAGCCCCATTGCAGAGCTTCTTTCTGTGCCCCCGTTCTGCCCAGCAAAGCAGTGCCACGGGCACGTGGGATGGTTCATGTGCTCAACCAAGTGGAAAGCTGGCAGCAAAAAGAGAGAGATGTGTCCTGGAGGATCCTTGCAGAGTGCTCTGGTAATGGCCAGTCGAACCAGTGTCTCTATCCAATTTCATGCACAGTTAATTTGGGAGGTAATTCACGAGTTGGGCTTCTTGGTAGTGACAAGGAGGTGGACACTGGTGTTGCCCTTATTTATGGGCTGATTTCTTCATGTCACCCACAGTGCCTGCAGTTCCCAGGAGGAGGAGGAAGGGCCATATCCTCATGGTTAGGGGGGCACATTGGGTGTCCCTGGGAATCCCAACACTTATTCTGCTCACAGGTATGCACAAAAACTGGGATATTAATTAAAAACAAAAATAAAAAAAGGGCAAGCACTTGGTACAGTATGGGGGGGAATACAGCCATGTCCCCATTCCTGCCCCCAGCAGGAACAGGAATGCTCCCATTGTGTTTTTTGGTAGCTGGGTTTTGCAAGCCCGTCTGTTATCCCTGCAAACAACTTTCCCAAACCTTGGTGACTTGGTACATAACCTTGGGTTAAATTATCATTACAGACAGCTTTAGAAAACTAATATTTGCATTCATCTTCGTAGATGTTTGCCTATTTAATGCGAAACCTGTTTTACGTACAAATACCCCTCTATGTGTTGAAGCAGGGAATGAACACAAGCTTTTCAGCTTCTTCCCGGATCTTATTAATGATTCTCAGTGCTAAACTGGGGAAAGACAGGGAAACAGTAGGGTCAGACTGGAGTCACTTCATGCCTTTGGGCTGTGACAGCCCTAGCAGCATCCCATTATCATTGTCACCTCTTTAATTTGGTCACGGAGGTCCCAAATGGCTCTTTAGGAAAGGAAAAGATAAAGCTGACTGAGTCCCCCATGCTTGTGGCATCCCAACGTGTTTTCTGTCAGATGGACTCTGATGAACGCTCTGTTCTGCTGATTAAAATGGGAGTCATTAACGACAGCAGCAGGCTCAGTGGTGGACTGGGAGTGCTGAGCATCCCACCCAACTCCCACTGCAGCTCCATGTGTTGGGGATGGAATCTGGCACACATGCACTGGGTACATTTAGGACTGAAGGTTTTATGGCAGCACACTGCTGGACAGGAGAGATCTAGGAACTGGGCCCCCCCAGACCTGGGACCCTCATCACCATTCCTGGACCACCCTATACATCCATTGAACCCACAATCTCCCTTCCCTGGGGACACCCATCTCCATCCCTGTGTTGCCAGTTCCCTTCCCTGGGACCTTCAGTCATCGCCCCCAGGACCCCACTTTCTTCCATCTCTTCACAGCTTCTGGTCTGGGTTTCATTTCACGCAGCCATTTGGGAAATTACTGCAGAATATACCAAAATCATTTCTGTAGAACACATTACCATCCTTTAATGACTGTTCTTTTTCAATTAGCTGTCAGAGCCTTGAAATAAAGCCGTGCTTTACTTCCCCAGTAAATCTCACCCTTTATTTGGAAATGGATTTTAGGAAAGAAAAAAAAAACAACAAAAAAAACAGAATAAACATGCTATCATCTCCCTCTCCCCAGCTCCAGGCAGGCCGGAGACATGTTTAAATTATCCCCCACTGCATTCAGGCAGATCATCAACTGTAAATTTTACAGAAAATAGTAAAAACGATAAATAAACATGCTTCTTTTGTAGGAGGTGAATATTACTGCTGCTCAGATTTATCACTCTCATCTCCCATACATTTTATAGCTTTTGTAAAAGTGCTGTCGCAGCTTCTGTGTTATGCTGCTAAGGTGCTTTCTCCCCCCTGTTCAAGGAGCAGCATGAGCTTAGTGTGCAATATAATTTAGGAGGAAGAGGAGTCCTGCTTGAGGGCTCAATTCATCCCAAGAAAATGCCTTTGGCATGGCTGGGAAGAGAAACACTCCCTAGCCTATCCCTTCCCATTCCCATCCCATGCCTATTCCTTTCCCATCCCCATCCTTGTTCCATCCCCATCCTCATGCTGTTAGATTCCTATTCCCATCTCCATCCCCATCCTTGTCCCATCCCCGTACCCATGCTATCAGATCCCTATTCCCTCCCACTGCTGCTGGCTGTGCACCAAACCCACACAGAATTGGGGGAAATGCAGGCAGTTTTGGTGCAGGCACTGTTACCAGGGCAACCCATCCAGCCTATAGCTGCTGACAGAGCTAGCAGACATTGCAGAAAAGAGATTTTTTACTACTTAGGATTGCTGTGCCTCTCAGAGCTGATGCTGGGCAGAGCCAATGATGCCCCAAACATGGTCTCCTTGCTGCCAGTGCAGCACAAATCCCACCAAAACCATTCTTTTTATAGAGCCTCAGGCATGATAAGAGGCAATGGAAATAAAGTTGGCAGTAAATCTCTCTGCTCACATGGGGCACCCAAATAAACCTTCCTTTAAGGACACTGGCAGGGTAGGAAAGCTGCCAGGACCGAGCTGCCTCATCAGTGCTCTGAATGCAGGGATGTCATTAATGCAATTAGCGCTGGGGCCGAGTGTCACCAGCCAGCCTTGAGATCACAGCCTCACAAACACACGGGGAGGCAGGGTAGCAACAGAACTCTTTAATAGCTGGGTTGACCTGAGGATTTGTTCTGACAGAGGTAGGCAGCCACCAGCCTGCAGTGCAGGACAGGGAACACCAGCACACTCTTTGCAAAATACATTCATGGGTGAGTGGCTCCCCGTGCACAGAGACACCCCCCCCCTCCTTAGGCGCTGTCAGCTCCGCACGCACGTTAGAAAAATATATTTTATTGATAATCTCCTTATCCAGTAGAGTTTTCTTCTTTTTCTTTGAGTGTAGGTTAACTGCTTCCTGTAGATTTTGGACCTGTGCACACATGTCTCTCGCTATCAAGAGTTAAAAGCCAACCATTGAGCATTTAACTCTAGAAAAGGCTGCAGACAAGATATGGCTTTTGCATCTCCATCCATCTGAGGGAAGGTAGGGACCCAGCTGTGTTGAGGTGTCTGGGGCAGCATGCAGCCCTAAACAGAACCAGCTTTACAGATGCTTTCCAGACACAGAACTCCTTTGGTTTCCTCCTTCCCCGTGGCCAGGGCAGAAGCTGTTCTCCATGCCCAGGCCCTCAGTGTCACAGTCAGGACTTGGAGCTGGTCTCATCCAGACCCCCATTCCTTCACCCTCACCCAAAACAACTCCCTAGGTTTTTTTTTCTGGCTTGGAAACTTCTGCAATGAGGAATGGATGCTCCCACAGGCGCTGCATGCTGCTCCATCCAGAGTCAGTGCTCCAATCACCACACACAGAGGTGGCTCCCAAAGAACCCAGAGACAACCCAACCAGTGCATCATGACCACCTCACCTCATTGCATCCTGTAGTGCTGCCCCTCACACTGTGTTTCCCCATTGTTGGAATTATCTCCATCTCTACTGGAGACCCAGAGGAGCTGTTCTGCAAGTGCACAAAGCATAGGGACAGCCACCAAAGCCAACTCATGCCCCAGGGAGGCAGGGCCCCAATATCGCAGCATCCATGCAAGCAAACAGCTGCTTGCACTGCTAAGGATGCTGCAGCAGCCAACATAGGAGTGAGATGGAGCTGCTCAGCCCCACGCCACCCAATTTACCTACTTCCACAATGTCCAGCAGGGCAGGGGCCCACCTGCAGGATGGGGACAGGGACCAGCAGAGGTGGCAGGGCACCATGCGTCCCCTTGGTGCCCAGCTCTGTGAAGATATCAACCAAGCAAGCTGAGCAATGGCTGGGGAGCGAGCGCTTCTCATGCAGGGGGTTGATTAACAGCTCATAGCAGCAGATGGAGAATTACAAGAAAGCCACCCACTGGGTGGAAGCAGGTAGAGGAAATCAATCCTTTCCTCCCCAGGCAGGGGCAGGTCCCCCGAGCATCACGGTCACCTCGGGTAGTAGTCATCCGGCACCCCCGATAGATTGCGGAGCTTCAGAGCTGCGTCCACCGTTCGGATGTATCCACTGATCATCTTCCTCATCTCAGGGGTGTAGGGGTCATACTCCAGCTTCCTCAAACCCGAGCGCTTGAAGTTGCCATCCTTCTGCCCCTCGACACACAGCAGGCGGTCCTCGCAGGCGGCGATGCCCAGCAGCCCCACCATGCGCTTCAACTGCTTGAAAAGGTCCTGCTTGAGGTCCTCAAAGTGCACCACCAGCACCTTCCTGCCAAAGCGCAGCCAATCCAGCGTGTGGGTCGCCCACCACGGTGCGTAGTTGGCCACAAACTCTGGCCACTCTGCAAGGAGCATGGGGACAGAAAGGGTGAGCATTAAGTGGCCCTGGGATCCTTGTGTTACTATCTCCCAGCTCTGGTGGCTTGGTCTATAGGGACTTAACAAGGCAAAACATCTCCTGGGACACTGGCATGTCTCACTTAGCCCCAGTTGCTTGGCTAATTGATCTCTGCATAAAAATTGGGATAAAAAGGATAATAAACATCGATAACAAGAAACAACGGTCCTGGAAATGCACTCTGTGCACGGCTCACGATGCAAGAAGTTCTGGGCATCTGCCTCTTCCTCTCTTCCCCAAGAAACCAATGCCTGATTAATAGCTGAACTGTATTTAATTCCCCAAAGAATCATTAAACACAGTATCTCTTTCATTAAACAGATACAGGACAATTCACCTTGTGTAATCATATCACATAAAACTTTGCTTTGGAACTGCTCCAGGGACATCATAAAATTAATGTCATGGAAAAAAAATAGGGATTTTGCTGAGCCTTCGGGCCCTGCTTGCTTGTAGCAAAACCCTGGCTGCCCATGGCCACATCCAGCATTTTCCAACATCTATTGAATTTCCCCAAAAATCAGAGAAGGAAATAGAGTGGGATGTTGATCAGGACTTTCTGCAGGAGAAACTTGGGCTCATGGACCATGGTGACCTATGCTTCTAGGCAAACCTCAACC